ATATATTTGGTAGGGTTAAAGCAGCCTTCCCAACACTGTGAGATACCCCTAAGAAGTTTAAATAATGCTAATTACTAACTAAAGCTACTCAGTTAATAGTTGCTTTCAACCCTGACTTCTAAATGACTCTTGAATATACATGTTTTCCTTGATTAGGATTTAGTGACCATCCTATTTTCATGCCAAAATGATCTGTGCCAGATGACCAAATCATCCTTCTTAGCTTCACTTTTGTTATCTCCAGTCTTGTCCCCTTAGGCATAAATTTAAAAGTTTTTCTTACAGATTTGTGCCATTTTCCTGGTTAAAGTTTTGATTGGTTCAATGCTGCATTCAACATACAGTTCATACTCCTTAGATTTGATTGCTTCAGTGGCCTTTGCTTACTTCTTTTCCTGTTGCTTTTCCCTCTGCCCACCTGTTCTGACACATAGCGAACCCTTGTATTCCTTGCAATGTGCTCTCTTTGCTCTTTCTCCGATCACGTAATGTGCTGTCTCTTGTTTTCTGCACTTACGTACAATTTCTACTTTTCCTTTGAGTCTAGTTCTGCCCCTAAACCCTAGACTCTGCCGGATACCTTATATTTCATTTGCACGATAACAAGGGAAGTTTCTCACAAGTTTTTGAAATCAGGAATCTTGGTGCTTTTGCATTTAAATCTATAATTTCCCTAAAAACTCTTTTGTTTTAAAATGATATAACTTTTTTGTTATTGATAATGTCTTAGAATCAAAGGAGCACATTTATAGTACTTTATTTCTTTGCTTATTTCTGTTCTTCTCGGTAGTAGGAGTTCTCCTCATACATAGTCAGATTTGCAATAAATAATCAGTAAAGTTAAATACCAAGCTCAACAACTACTGTTTTATTACTTGACAATCCTAATTGCATTTCTCTTTTGTTTCTCCATTATTAAGCGTTTCTCGAGAAACACTTAAAAGCAGGAAGAAATCAGATTATAGTTTAAATAAAGTGAATGCACCTATCTTAACAAATACAACATTGAATGTAATAAGACTTGTTGGTAAGTAACTAAACTTTTTAATAAAAACAAAACCATAGCAGTTTAATTAGCCTGCTTTTATTACCGAATGATTTTTGTTTAATGTTTTCATTGAATGATAACTTTATTAGCCCCAACAAGTGAGAGATTTAAGACTACCACATCAGTGCATCTCATCTTACATGTTCCAACTGGTAGGAGTAAATATTTATGTCAGTTTTACTTTTTCAGTTAACTCATTAACTTCTGTATCTTCTGATTTTTCTAATTAATTGAAATGTAATAAAAATTCTCTAATTGAATTAGAGGTATGTATAGGATGATGATAATACTAGTTTCACATTTGTACTACATTTTGGTATTTCATCGTTTCAGACATCTTTACAACCTTCTGTGGTCTTTTTAGAGATAAAGGTTTTACAGACTGGATGTTCAGATCATAGGAAGTATTCTTATTACCAGGAAGGCCTTTACTGATGCTTGTGTGCAGCAGGCAAGCAGCATGAAGAAATGTTATTTTAAACGTAAATTTTTGAAGATGATGTAGATATTTTAATGTCATTATTTGAGCATTTTATGTGCTTTTCACTTTTATGTTTCACAAATAGGTCTGAAGGTTTAATTAGTAAGTTAGAGTTATCTTCTCACGTTAATTGTAATCTATGTCAACTAGGAATTTTAGTGATTTTTCTATAAAAATCTATATTCTATTTATGAAGATGTTGTTACCTATTGCTTTGTTTCATTAATCTTAACTAATGAAGTGGTCTCTGCTTATTTATTTCTGAATTTCATTAATGAACAGGGTAAAATGTACAAAACACTTTAGTCTTATTTTCTTTGGAGAAAATACAGAAAAGTGTGCATTTTTATGACACACAAAAATGGCAGACTCTGAAAGGCCATTTTGTGGCTAATGATTTTCAGGGAAAATCATTTTATCCAAGGGAGCTGTCCGAACAGTATCATGAATAATTCCAGAATTTAGATAATCAAAATTGGAAGGGTCGAGGTTATCTGGTTTAAGTTCTCACAAAATAAGATTTTCTCTCAGTGACAGCTGTAATATGTTGTGACCATCAAGCTTTGGTTTCATGACTCATAGTCACTCAGAACATATTATTTTGCAATACTGTTCATTCTGTCAGTCTGAATTGAATGGCAGAAATTTTTCCTATGGCTAATCAAAGTCTATCACTCTTTCTCATTCTGTTGGTTGGACTCACTTCTGCCTTTAAAAGAAAAAGGAGTAAACCTTGTACATTTTAGAAAACTTTTTCTCCTGGTCTTCCCATGTGGTCCCTTTTCAGATAGGTGGTGGTAGTTACTGTGTCCTTTCCGTCCACATCCCTGTCTACTCCATCCAGTCTCTAACTCACTGTGTAAATTTCTCATCACCTCTCTTATCCTAGTCCTCATTGATAGAAATTCTGAATCTTTCAGTATCTTTGTCATTCTTCATCTAGATCAGGCTCAGTAGTTTTTGCTGTCTGAGGTTTGGCCTCTTTTGCTGATTCCCTCACAAACAGAGAGCCCTGATAGCTCTGGCTTTCATCCACAAGGAAGTGTGCTTCTGCCCTGGAGGCACCTCAGGGCAAGGGAAATAGAGGGTTGCATGCTGCTCTAAGAAGAAGTAGCAGAGCAGATAGTTGGCCGAGTAATACAATCATCACATATACAGAGTTATATTTTCTAATTTACCCAGGTCAGACAGCACTAGAGGTAGTCACGTTGGTCTTTGCTATAAAAAGGCATATATTCATTATGGTCAAATGAAATAAAATAAAGGCTAAAATAAATTGAGGAGGGAGGATATTGTTTCATTCAGTTAAATGCAAGGATCAAATCCAACCCTTAACTTTTTGGTGGACATGAGAAACTTGAAAAAACAATATATTTTGCTATTCTTATGTCAAAGAGGACTCTTGCTCTTATAATAATAGTGGAAATGTTCTCTTGCTGCATACTTCAAAAGATAGTAACAGCAAATTCTTATATAAGGACTAGTGATTGATGTCGTGCACATTGTGGGTTTTTTTTTTTTTTTTTTTTTTTTTTTTTTTTTTTTCCCGTTTTCCACAAACATGAGAGAAC